AAGGTATGGTCCCTTATGCCTCTACCCTTAGGAAAGACGGCCATAGAAACCAAATGGATCTTCCGAAACAAGAAGGACGAAGATGGCATAGTAATAAGGAACAAGGCCAGGCTTGTTGCCAAGGGCTACTGCCAGAAAGAAGGGATTGACTATGATAAGACATTTGCCCCCGTTGCAAGACTTGAAGCCATCAGGATATTCCTAGCCTACGTAGCACACAAAGGCTTTAAGGTCTATTAAATGGATGTCAAGTCTACCTTCCTCAACGGCAAACTTCAAGAAAAAGTTTACGTTCAGCAGCCCTCTGGGTTTGAAGATCCAAAAAATCCAGAGTATATCTATTTTCTGGACAAAGCCCTCTATGGGCTAAAGCAAGCACCCAGGGCCTGGTAAGAAACTCTATCTACCTTTCTCATCAACAATGGCCTCGAAAAAGGTACAATCGATACAACCTTCTTTCTCAAAAAGCATAAAGGTGACATACTACTAGTACAAATATATGTGGATGACATCATATTTGGCTCTACAAATGCAAAACATTGCGAAAAATTCTTAGAGCTGATGAAAAGCAAATTTGAGATGAGCATGATGGGAGAACTTAGTTTCTTCCTTGGTCTTCAAATAAAACAAACTTCAGAAGGGATTTTCATAAATCAGTCCAAGTATGTGACTGACCTTCTGAAGAAATACTCTCTCTCAAATTCATCATTGATGAGAACTCCTATGGCTATAGGAGCCAAATTATTTGCTTATCCATCAGGCAAATCTATGGATGTCACAACCTACAGAGGCATGATTGGATCACTCCTGTATCTAACTGCAAGTAGACCAGATATCATGTTTGCTACATGTCTTTGTGCAAGGTATCAATCCAATCCTAAAGAATTTCATCTCTCTGCAGTCAAGAGGATCTTTAGAAACCTTAAGGGAATCCCTTCATTCGGTCTCTGGTATCCTAAGAACTCTAGCTTTGATCTAATAGCCTATACAGATACAGATCATGCAGGGTGCAAGCTTGATAGAAAGAGTATGTCTGGAAGTTGTCAATTCTTGGGGGACAAGCTGGTAAGTTGGACATCCAGAAAACAGAATTGTGTCTCAATCTCTACAGCAGAAGGAGAATATGTCGCTGCTGCTAATTGTTGTTCACAAGTTCTCTGGATGAAAACTCAGCTTAAAAACTATGGCTTTCAATATGAAAAGATACCAATCCTCTGTGACTCCAATAGTGCAATAACTATCTTTGCAAATCCTGTGCAGCATTCCAAGACCAAGCACATCGATGTAAGGTACCACTTTCTGAAAGACAATGTTGAAAAAGGTATTATAGAGATGTACTTTGTTCCAACTGAGATTCAACTTGCTGACATTTTCAAAAAAGCTCTTGATGAGAAAAGATTTTTGTTCCTAGTCAGCAAGATGGGTATGCTGAATCTCACCACTTAGAGGCAATCATAAGTTTGAAACCAGAGATCCTCAATATCTCATGGTTATGCCTATAAGTGATATATAGTATAATGTCCATAAACTCCAAGTACTCTAAACCAGAGCCTCTGGTTGTAAAAACCAGAGCCTCTGGCAATTTAGAAACACTTGATTAATTTTTGGCAAAAATTTTCATCGCCTTTGGAACCAGAGACCTTTGGTCCAAAGCAAATGCTTGGTATTTTTCACCAAGTATTCCCCTTCAAACCAGAGCCTCTGGATTCCAATTCTTTGAGACTAGAGCCGACATATGTAATAAGCTGTGCAAACAACAATTCGAATATACGGATGAACATTATTTTACGAACGATTGTATTTCTTTGTTCATTCAAGAATTTCAAGTTTTGTAATAAGCTCTAAGTGGATGGTTTCAGAAACCCGACATATGTGCAATTTTTTTTTCATTCGATCTTGCTAACAAACAAAATTGACCTTCAACTTTATACATTAGTTGACTTATAAAATAACCACATAAACTCATGATTCAAAGCCAAACTAATGTTTTCGAATTGTGATTTACCCGCGCTGCATCGCACGGGTACACCACTAGTATATATAATATGTGTGCTTGAAGATAAGTGTGTAAATATGTATATTTATATAAAAATATATATATGTATACTTGGTGTATGTAAGCATACATATGGCGGTGTAAGTTTGCTGACTTTCCTGAATTGGAAAGTATAAAAGGAGGGCTTAGCCTCCATTCTCTTCTTCTGGTCTTTTGATAAGTTGTGCAATTTAAAAAGAGGAGAAGTTGATCGATATCTTGTCTAAAGATTCAAGATTTGATTTCAAGTGTTTGGTTTTAAAATCCTATTAAGGTGAGTAGTTTCTAAAACTCTTTTGCATAAAGATTATTACTGGTTTCATATAAATTTTATTTTGAATTTGATAGAAATCAGTCTTTTTGCCCTAAGTGTTTATCCGGATATAAGCCGGACAAGGTTTGACCGGATGGTTTTAAATCGGTCAAAGAGTGAAAGATGTGTTGTCCGGATTAGTTTAAATCGGACAAAGGTTGGACGAAGTATTGTCTGGATTAGTTTAAATCGTACAAAGGTTAATCGATGTGTTATCCGGATTGTCTTAAACCGGTTAAGTATTGATTGGGCTATGATTGGTAAGAATAATTATATTTTTACACTGAGAAGTAGGAATACGACCAAATGGTGGCCGGATTATTTTAAATTGGCTAAGTATTGAGCGGAGTATTGACCGGATTTGTTATCCGGACAAAAATTGAAGTTTGTATAAGTATTAAATCGGACAAAGCTTAGGCTGTGTTGTCCGAATAAGTGACCGGATTTAAAGTCCGGCTAAGTCAAGATTGACCGGATTTAAAGTCCGGCTAATTCAAGATTGACCGGATTTGATGTAATGTTGTGTTTTTGATGAAAAATGTTATTTTATCATAAAAAGGAAGTTTTGAAATAAATAATTTTGGATTAATAATAATTCCAATGGCTGCAGTCTATTTGGAATTCTTTTATGAAAAGTTTTGATGAGGAAATAAGGGTGGCATATCAAGGAGAGGTGTACCATGGGATAAGGGTGGCATATCAAGGAGAGGTGTACCTTTGGATATAAGGGTGGCAATTGCATGTGTGTTGTACGATATAACTCATTCTATTATATCCTTTAAGATTACTATGGTCCGGAGTCTTTATTTCTTTGTGACTTAAATATTTAGGATCAAGGTTCTTATTGGAAATTACAGTTTGGATGTTATTGGGGAGAAAATGTCAGGTTTGGCCTGAAGCTTTAAATAACCTTGTTTGGTTAAAGAAAATGTTTAAAAGTAGCATTATGTGGAACCTGATTGGTTCAGAGTTTTGAGAATTGAATAAGCATAACGCTTTGCTTGATAATGGAAAAGATCTGGTATTACGTTTCTATTTATTCATATATTTGTTATATATATGAAGTGATATTTTCCCTAAAGGTTTTGGTGATTTTCTCCCTGCAATAACATAAATAGGGTATCTCACTAGACCTTTCGGTCTAACCCTCGTTTTGTGATTTAAATTATGTGTTGCAGGAGGTTCGGACTGTAAGGGGAAGGGAAAGGTTTAATATGTTTCTTTATGCGCTTCTGCTTGAAAATCTGTTTTGATTAATTAGTACAAGAAATGTATTTTGAATTTTTGGACCTTGTATCTSGTCATGTTAGATTCTTGTACTAAGGGACCTGAATGGAATGATATCATGTATATCTTTGGTATGAAATATATGTTACATGAAATGTGTGGATTGGAGCGTTACATGACATGCCGAGAGATTAACATTTTGCGGTTGTCGATGTCATAACATTTGTACCCTCGATGGTTTGATGGAAAACCAAAAAAAAAAGGCATGAAACAAAGTGGGGTTGGAGTTTATGGATTGTTTGGAAGGTCTGTGTTGGTAACATAAACAACCAAATACCCGTATATGATGGTAGGCAAGTAGTTTTTGGTAAAGAATTTGGGTAGGAGAATAGAACGATCGTGTTTTATTCAGGACAATATTATGTAGGTAAGTTGCCATTTGAATCGAGTGACGCCAAAAAGCGGGTGGAACATGGTCATGAAGAAGAAGAGTTCGAGCCATCTTGTTTAGTGTTTCTTACTTTCTCTCGGCCATTCCATTTTGGGATGACGTGTATGGACAAGAAAACCGCAAATGGATGCCATTAGTAGCGCATAACTAATGGAACAAAGTATTATCATATTTGTGGCCATTATCACATTGAAAACCCTTAATTTCTTTTTTGAATTGGCGTATATGATCCCGAAATTGCATAAAAATTTGAAACATATGAGACTTTTTGGCAAGGGGAAAAATCCAAACAAAATTTGTAAAATCATCAAGAAACAAGAGATAATATTGATAACCACAAGTACTCATAACAACCACAAGTATTCATAACAGGAGACGTCCAAATATCACTATGTATTAAATCAAATGGAGCAATTGAAAATGAAGTAGAGGGATAAAATGGTAACTTATTGTGCTTATCTAATTGGCAAGATTGGCAAATACAACTAGAAAAATAACAAAGCTTAGAAATTAAATGAAAAATAACAAAGCTTAGAAATTAAATGATGCGAAATTTGCTGAGAATAATACGCCCAGGGTGGCCAAGACAGAGATGCCATATAGACGATGATGTGGTAGATAGAGCATTTTGCTGAAGTGCGTCGGGCAATCGTGGGGTATGGGTAGGTGGTATAGCCCACTGTGATGGGATACCATTGCAGCATATGAGACCATTGGGGTTGATTATTTTGCTAGCGATAACCTTGATAATTTCGAGAAGAATATGACCCCCGGCCACCATGGTTACTTACGACCTCGTGCTCTCCCCCGACCGCGATAATTCGATCAGCTGTCAATATGGTTGTCAAAGTGAGGAATCGAAGAAGAGGCCGGTGGCTTGAACAGCTTTGTCGTTGGCAGATTGGTGTGGCGGACGTGTAAAGTGTCATTGCGAAGGCTATTGCATGGGTCGTTTGTTAAGCCTTTCGAGTTTCTTACAACGTCAACATGCTTCGAGCTTTGTAGAATGGTGGCAAAGGATCGGACTGATAAATGATGGTTGCGACACCATCATATGCCTCAGATAATCCTGACAAAAGTTGAAGAACTAGAAGTTGATTTGACACCGGAGACCCAACGTTTGCCAACTGATCAACCAACATATTAAGGTGTTGGCAGTAGGCAAAAAAGTTAGGAAAATCAACCTGTTTGGAGCAAGAAAACTGATGTTCGAGATGTACCGTTCTGGAACTCTTATTATCCTGAAATATCGCCAGAAGATGTTTCCAAGCAATCTGGGCAGAAGCTTGTGGTTCCAAGATCGTGTGCAAAAGATCGGTGGATATAGTACCATATATCCATTGGAGAACGATAGCATCAAGATGCTTCCATAAAGTGTCATCCGCAGACTCGTCTCTCAGAGGAATGATATGATCCAACACTTCAAAATCTCGAGCGTGTATTTTGAATAGCTCCACCCAAGAAGCATATTGGACATTCTCAATCTCGAGAGTAGTTGGAATGAAATTTCAGATGTGAGAACGGGATGAAACGAGAAAGGTTTGGAACCCGATGCATCATCTTTATCGTTACTTTTGGAACGCGATGCATCGTCTTTATCGTTGGCCTTAGTAGTCAAGATGAGAATAAAATGAGAATGAAGGATCTGTGAGGAGAAATCAAGAATTAGGAGAAAGAGGGCATTGAGGGGAAGGGCTCTGATGCCATAATAGGAGAAAAACCTTGCCCTCCTTTGTATATTCATCATCTATATGTAGATTATACACAACAGATCTCCTATTTTATTGGATGATTACAAGATATCCTCCAATTATACATGCCATCCTTTCCTAATCAGATGACATTGTCTTATAACTATTTGTATTGCCTTATCGCTATTAGGGGTTGTTCGGTTCGTTTTCTTTTAGGCCCTGTATGGATATAGTTGTCTGTATTGATATAGTTATATATATACTAACAGATAAGTTGTTGTTCGGTTGTTGTGTTGAATAAATAGTTTGAATGTCAAAAATGACCATTTTACCCCAACCTATATTAAACACTATTAAAGTATTTGTTTGATAAAAATGTTGAGTATTTGACTTTGAATGGTTAAAAAATATCAATTCAAAGTTTTTTTTTAAATAAAAACAATTTACCAAGTCCTATTAAACCCAAATTAGAACTGTTGATCCTCTCTCTCAGTGATTTGATGATAATCCCTTTTTCCTTTCGATGTATTTTCTGTGTTTCTGTACTTTCAGTTCCAGCGATCAATACACTGAGCATGTTCAGTGATCGCTGAAGAACTCGCTTTGTAATTCATTCAGAGACAACGATACTTCAAGAAAA